ACGGCCAGGCCTCACCGCAGTTTCCCCCCCGCAGCTCTCTACGGGGTGCTGTTTGAGGACAACAAGGAGGCCGCCTTCGCCAACTACCGCCTGTGGGAGGCCCTGGGCTTCGTGATCGCCTTTGGGTACAGCTCGTTTCTGTGCGTCAGCGTCAAGCTCTACATCCTCCTGGGCGTCCTGAGTCTGGCCATGGTGGCGTACGGAGTCGTCGAGTGTCTGGAGTCCAGGAAGCTGACCAGGCCGCTTGCCGTCCGGCAGACAAAGCCAGAGGAGGAAGGAGAAACACAGACGAAAATGTGAAGCAGCAAACCCCGCGGCAGGTGGGGCGGAGCCCACGGGCAGGAGGGCTTTGCTTGAAGGCACCTCCGAGTTGACACTTGAGTCTTTACAATGACTTCCATGGTATTTCATTTTTTATGTGTTTTTTTTCTACCAAATTTTGCAGTCCACCACCTCATCCATCTCCTGGTGGAAATCCAGAATATTTGTGAAGGAATCAGTTTCAGGCACAAAAAAAGAAATTTAGGGCACAGTCCGCCAACTGGGACTGGCTTAGACTCTTAGCACCAACAACTGCTGCTTGTTTCATTGTTGTTTTTAAGAGTTGAAGGCTGCTTCCAAAACGCAGCCCCAAACCAGTCATTTTACAAACCGCTGAACGACATTCAGGCCGGTCGGGGACTGCCGCCCGGAGTCCGTCAGGGCCAAAGCCAGAGCAGGGGGCAGGAGTTCCTGAATAAATGCAGTTATATCACGGCGCCGTCTCCCATCCAGACGCTTTTATCCTGAACACCCAGAGCACACACGCAGAAGTCATCAGGTGAGTCACTTCACATGCTGTAGACCATTGGAGGACAACGGGCAAAGGTTGTCCCCAACGGGACACACAGGTGAGGCTGAAGACACTAGAAGCCGGGCAGCGTCCTAAGAGCCATCTGCCCTTCTCACCCTCAGAACCTACGCGCACCCAGTCTTCCTTGACACGGGGGAGCAGCTGGTCACTCGGTCACCGCCTCTCTCTGAGCCGGGCTCTCCGTCCGGGTCTCCGCACCCCCTGCTGCTCTGTGACAGCGTCCCCGTGGGTCTCTCTTCTCTCCTCTCACCCCCGGAGGCTGCTCACCCCTTCTTCTCCACCTGTGCTCTCCTCCCTTGTGTCCCGAGGAGGCTCCCGCCGCCTGTGAATGTGAACAACTACTCCTACAAGGAGCTCGGGCCAGCCCGGAGACGCTGCCTCCGACAGATGGCCGCGTTCAGCCGGGCTGGTTGTCGTGACGGTCGACAACAGGCAGGGACTGCTGCTGCTGGACTGTGATCCGAACAGGCCGGAGGGCAGCTGTCAGGGGAGTGGGTCGGTCACTTCCCACCTCACCCTCCAGGAGTCTGGAAGCTTCTACTCCAGCAGCAGATGTCCCGACCTTGGGTGACCCCCCTCCCCCTCCCCCAGACTGGATTAGTGTCCACTCTGTGAATGAAAAATATTTGCAGCCACATCAGTAAACAAGGATCCTGAGGCCGTCACGTCATCAGCGACGACCGCCGCCCCCAACCGCGACAGCGAGCGGAGGGAACTCAGCACGCAGACCAGCAGGCAGCCGGCTCCGCAGCGCCCCCAGCGGTGCCCCCTGAGGGGGCTCAGGATGGGGAAGCACAGGGCGCTGGCCCTGGACGGCCAGGTGCACATCAAAGGAGTGATTTCAGTGGGCCTGGACCTCTGCGCCTTCCCACACACAGAAAAGCGCGAACTCCCCTAGCTTGAGAGGGCTGGTTCTCTTTAACAGTTGAAGGCGTAAGAGGAGGGGCAGGCAAAGGCCGGTGCTGCTGCCACCCTTGGATCAGCCCGCCTCCCGCTCTTGGAGGTGCACGTTCCCTTTGCTAATAAATCCTTCAGTATCTTTCATTACACAGTGCTTTCATCTCCCGTCTGAATTCTCCTCTTTTGGGTAAGACAAGGACCGAGGTTCTTCCCAGCCCCTTTTGAGACAGCAAGATGCGGGGGAGGAGCTGGGAAAAGTGACCAGTAAGGTGAACGAGGACGGCTGGGAGTGACGTCACATGAGGGTGGAGGGTGGGCCACTGACTTAGCAGCAGTGAGGTTGCTGGGGTCCCTGGCCAGAGCAGCTCAGTGGAGTCTGGGGGTAAAGACGTGAACTCAGTGGGTCCGAGAGAGCAGAGGAGTGTAGACGGGGAGGATTTTCAGCCCTTCCCGGAGGGGTTTCTCCAGGAAAGAGGCCATCGCTAAAGCCCGGGGTGGGGGCCAAGGATCATTACACAGCTGAAATACTGGGGGTTGGGCAGGGCAAGGAAGGCATTGGGTGGTTCTAGCTCAGGCTCCTCAGGGGATACAGATGAGAAATGCAAGACTGTTCGGTAGGGTTCTGGCGCGTCCCGGGCCCCACAGCTGCGCAGCTGAAGACATGGGACGCGAACCTGATTGCGAGACGCCTGGCTGGGGGTGTTAGCTACTAGAAGGCGAGAGAGGCATGATCCTAAATGCCCTTTTTCACCTGAGATAGATGCACTTAAGGTTTTGGAACTTTTTATTGCATTGTAACATAAGGACAGAAATTTACACTTATCGGTGTATGATTTGGTATAGTTCACAAATGGAACACACCCATGTAGCCAGCACCCAGACCAGGAAACAGACCACCACCCACCTGGACCCCTGGGGACCCGCTCATGTCAGTTCGCCCAAGAACAGCAGCTTCCAAAACCACAGACTCGTCTTACGCACTTACACATATTTCTCTCAAGGTTTTTATTATTAAAATACCCTGTTCATTAGGTCCTTCAAGCAGTAGTGAGGTGATGGTGCGAGTCAATGAAAGTCCACTCTCAGTGAACACTTACCATCCTTCCAGTGCACCGGGTTGCAGTGTCAGGTTTCAGTGAACGGCAAAGGCTTGGTCACTTGGTCGCTGGTGGGGCCAGGAAAGACCTCCAAGTTCCCGTAATCGTGCTGCTCTCCACGCCGCCCTCTCTGGGGCTTGGGAAATGGGATGCTTTTCCTATCAGCTGCTGGAAGCGTGGGTCTCTGTGCTCCCCTGGGTGGGGCTGGGGTGTAACAGAATAGTGAAAATTCTATCATGAGTTCAGAGTTTCCTAGGACTCCAGCAAAACTTTAGATTTCAACATCGTCATGAGTCCAAACTCCTCCTGACCTGATCAGAGGAGGGCACGTCAGATGAAACTGTCCAGGTGCAAAGAGCAGGCATGCGCACTTGAAGTTGAGGTCAGACTGATGCTATCACTAGTGGACGCTTGTGAGGTCCATGTAACTGATGAGGGAGAGAACCCCATACTGCGTGAGCGGCAGCCTGGGGTCGGGGCGGAAGGTGGTCCTGGGTCAGCACTGCCCTGGCTCGTGGATGCACCTCTGAGTCACTTTTCTGACCACACAGTCCAAACTGCGTGTGGTCGGTGACCGGGAGGCACTGAGCCGTCCTGAAGCCTTTCCGTGTCTGAGGAGGGCCCTGGATCCTGTAGGGGACGCAAGCCAAGGAGAGAACTGAGCCCAGTGGAAAATTCAGAGAAACCATCAGAAGGAGGCTCGACATGAAACAGCTTGGAGAAACATGCTTGCTCCTTGCGCTCCCTTTGGGAAACAGCGATCATTTTCATCAAATCAGCGCTCCATGAATTTCCTTATTGTTCAGGTTCCCTTGGCAACCGCCTCTCATCTGGACCGTTGCCTCCTCTCGCAGCCCAGATGCCCAGGCAGGCACTTAGCTTCAAGTCTTGGAAGCTCCAGCTCATGCATCCATTTCTGATTGAAGGAAAAATGGAAAAATTGTTGAACAAATTCAGGATGTATAAATCGCTCAGCTAAACGATGCAAACCCGGATAACATGACTCACACCTGGATTGCCTCCCCTGCCGTGCACATCACTGAAATCCTTGCCAGACCCGCCCTTTGTGCGATGTGTTTGAAGACAGGGGAAGAATTTAATGACACTAAGTTTTTACAAAATTTACCAGCAAGTATGGCTGGAGGACAACCATACATAATTAACGGGAAGCGAACATGTCAACCGGAAAAAGAAAAAGTCCTCTAGGCCACGTACAGTGAATTCCTTTTGTCCTTGGTTTGCTAATTAGAAAACCGCCGTCCCCATCCCCTTTACCGCGAGCCCGCAGCTGCGGCTGCGTGTCATGCGGTTTGCATGCAGTTAAGTGGAGCGGTTCATTTGGTCCTGAGCGACTGTAACAGTGCCTGTAATGAGGCAGATGACGGTGAAACATTAAACACCCACCAGCAGAGGTGGTAACACGCCGGAGCCTGAATGGGCTGGGTGCAAAGAGGCTGTCGTGCGGCTCCCGACTTTGAAATGCCAGATGGTTCTCACGGGTTCAGGCTGCGGAGTCCACAGGCGGGGCCCCTGCGCCCTGGAAGGCGGGGCGAGACGGTGGGGTAGGGGGGAAGCGTTCAGCCTTGGCTGGAGGGTGGGTCCAACCGGTTCTCTGGTAGAAACATGGCTTCAACAAATAATCAAGATTCATTTTGGAAACTCAACTGTTTTGGGGTAGAAATGGTATATTTTGAGGTCCCAATACGGAAAAGCCCAAGGAAGGCCCAGGATGCCCTGGAGGGGCCCAGTGCCTCTTCTCTGAGTCCCCAGGCGTGTAGCTGGTGGGACCACCAAGACTGTGGCCTGTGCGGGTCCCTGGAAAGAGGGAAGCCCCTGGAGCACAGATGGAGGAACCCTGCAACCACATCCTGACCGGGGTCCCGGCCCTCAGCACTGCCCCTGAGGGGGTGACCCCTTTGTGAGGGAGCAGCAGCATTGCTTGGCGGCCAGCAGGGCAGCTTCCAGCCCTGCCCCTGTGCACTGGACTCTGCGGCTGCTGAGGGGGACCCGCCCCCCAGCCTCGGATCCAGGCCTGACCAGGAGGCCGTCCTGCGTTCACACCACGCCTGGTTCAGGGAGCCACCTATGGACGTCATGCCCAGAGCTGGAGGGCGGCCCCGTGGGTGGCCCCATGGGTGGTGCTTGGTCCCTGGACCCACCCTTCCCGAGAGCACAGGGGTCCAGGGCCGCCAGGAGCGGTGAGTGCGCGCCCTGACCTGCGGTCACTGTCCAGTCTGCCGCACCTGTCCCTGCGGGGATGTATCGCTCCAACCACGGTCAGTCCAGAAAATACGCAGAGGGCCTACTGTGTGCTGGGTTGCTGCCCCACCAGGGCGAACAGGATAAACACAACGTCGGTGACAAAGGTTTCCGAGGACCAGAGCTTAACGTAGAGGCTGACCGTCCTGACCCCCTCCGGGGGCTGGGAGGTGGGGCTGGGATGGGGCCTGAGGCCGAGCAGGGCCGGGGGCCTTGGATGCCATGCTGAGCAGGTGGCTCTCAGACAGACGTAGGCAGTGACCAAAGGCTCTCAAAGAGGCCAAAAGCCCTCCCTTTTTGTATTAGTCTGTAAAGGGCAGATTCAGCCTGGTGAGTCCTGGGACTATGCTGGGGTTTTCATTGCAAGTCGGTTCCCTTCGCCAGTGTTTACAGAAAGGGGACACGGGAACTGGGGTTCTGGGGGCAAGGAGTGATTGGAAGTGGACTTGCCCTCGTGAAACTGAAGGCTTTAGTGATAAAATAGCCCTTTCCCTATAATCAACATCAAAAATGGCACAGGGACTCTGTCTAGAATAATACAAACTGTCCCGGGTTCAAGGCAATACCGACATTTTCCCCAAAGAACATGTAGATAGTATGCAGAAACCCTTTTTTTTAATTATTATTGAAGTACAGTTGATTTCCAGTGTGATATCTGGTTTAGGTGCACCAAATAGAGTGTGTGTAGAACTCTTATTTTAAGTCAACCAACTTAAAAAATAGGGCAAAATGTATACAGGTATTTTTTTTTATGTGAGAAGCATTCTATATTTCATGTAAACTGGAAACCACAGCGGGAAGCTGTAAACTATGCGTCAGAAAAGGAGAATGAACAGGACGACGGCGATCCTGAGACAGGTGGCTGAAGCCGACTCTTCGTAAACTGGCTTCACTACCTAGAAAATTCATACCAGGGCCTCCAGCTGCTGTTTGCTCCCATTTGACAAAAATGTTTAACAGCAGGAGGGTACAGTTCAGTGGTAGAGCACGTGCTTAGCACGCACAAGGTCCTGCGTTTAATCCCCAGTGCCTCCATTTTAAAAAAATGTTGAAACAACTAACTCCTAAATTTGAAAATCTCTGTGCTAAGCAGTGTGAAATATCGGTTGTGTGTATGAATTTTACATTCACAACAAAATGGCATTTTAAAAAAATAGGTATTTGCAATATGACTAAAGGTGAGGCTGTTACTAGTTAAAAAAAAGTTAAATCACATTTTCACCAGAGATGCATGAACATACAGGCTTTGTAAAGTCAATCGTCAGTCATTCCAAATAAAGGCAGGGAAAATATTTTTGGATTTCATTTTTTGAAATTCTAAAAATCAACGTCTTTTTATAGCAACGTGTAGTCTATTACGTTCATCTTGTGCACGTGTAAGCCGCCAGCAGGAGCACTGGTCATGTGCGCTGACCGCTGTTTCTCAGAGAAACTGGTTCTCTGCTTCGGTGGCACCTCTGTTGGTTTGCAGCATCCTATTCAGGGTCACCCAAGGAGGGTCCCCTCCCTGACCCCCAAATCTTTCC